CAGCTTGCTGCTCCCTCCTACCCATCTATCCATGCATGACTCTCCTTCTCTCTCGTGCTTTCGCTCTTTTGACCCTCTTTTCAACCTATGAAAGACAGGCGCAATTGCCAAGTACAATGTAATGTTCCTCGGTTTCAAACCAGAGATAGAGGACTTTGGAAGGTCAAAAGGGAGGACACGCAGAACGCTGCAAAAGAGAGAAGACTGTGGTCTGAGTGGGTTTTATGGAGGCAAAATTGCTCCTCTTCATGTTACATCATTCCATATGACTGTATCATTACAATGAAGTAGTCTAAAACCCTGAATGGAAACATGAAACGATCAGTGTGTGTCATTACATCGAGGGTTACTTTATCTAAATGTTTATATATAACCCTTTTTGAATCAGGACATGAACTGGTTCTAAAAAGACCCCCTAAAATGCAAAGCAGTGTTTGACCATCACACCAACAAGTGTTAACTTAACATGAACAGACTGTCCCAAAACTTGTGCTGCATATCAAATAATTAAATACTATCAGTAATTTTATTAGCACTGCTAGCGGCATGGCTCTGGGGATGTCCGTGTCTGTAGGTCAACTGGCCCGCCACTTTGGTCCAGACTAAATTATCTCAGGGGACACACATTGATGTCCCCCTCAGGATACATTGTAATAACATTTGTGATCCTCTGACTTTTTATCTGGTGCAATCATCAAGTCAAGATTTCTGTGTCCAATACTTGCAAAAATAATGACATTCCCATTAGCCTCGGCTGTAGGCCCTCTCTTCAGAGCTAATTAGCAAATGTTAGCATGCTAACAGGCTAACTTAGATGGCAAACATGGAAAACTTTATACCAGGGCTGGACGATCGATGGAATTTTTATTTTCAGTTATGATTTTGGCCTTCTATAATTATGAAAACAAGATAATCGAGATAAAACGATTAATGTGCTGCATTTTATTTTGCAACGTAGCTCTTTTTTTGTCTTGTGTTAGAAATCCAGCGCACCCCTTTTCTTTACAGGGGTCCTCTTTTGCCCCTCCAAAATTTCCAAATTCACTTTCAATGAGACTGTGGCATGTTTAGTTCAGCTCAAGCCTGCTTTTCAGTTGAATTATATTTAAAGTTTGAGAAGATCCACGGTTATAAAGACACTTTTTTAATGTTTAATAAAGGCATTATGTTTCCAAGGTCAGGGAGTAATCTATTAAATAAGTGTGATCTCAATATTGGCCAAAATAATAATCGAGTAGCCCTTCCTCATACCTTTATTTATACCTATATCTCTATAATGTTGTACCTTTATCAGCTGATGGTATTATCATTGTGAGAATGTGCTGATGTTAGCATTTAGCTCAGAGCATAAGAGAGACTCACATTGCAGACCCTTAGTCTAGCTGCATGTCAGTAAAAAGATAAGCTCTGCTGGATGACAAAGGGAAATGTTGGCTGTTTGTTAGACAAAATCAATTATTTAATCATTTAAATGATGGCAATCTGGCCTTATACCAGGATTCATCCAGCATTGATGGGGCTCGGTGCTTAAAAGAGAGCAGTGATCCGCATAGAAAAGTCCAGGGTGACATCATATGAACTCTGCCTTATAGCACAATGATTTATCACTTAAAGACAACCTTTGTAACAGCTACATGACAAACACAAGTAGCTTTAAAGGAGAAGTCACAACAGCACATTTCTCCCTGATATGTGTTTTGCTGATGAAAATAACAGTAGCTAGTTTAATCTCAGTCTTCTCATGTTTGGGATAAAAGTAGCAGTGAAACATTTGTAGTCAACTTTTCACTCTGAAGTGTGTTGTTAGATCAAATTCTCACCCCAAACCCCGTCGCTTATTTTGGTGAGTCTGTTTTGAAAAGTCACCTAACCTGAGACTGAGGGGATTGGTCTGCAGAAAAACAACACAGGTGTGAAAAGGCAGACAGTGAACACACCAGGGACATGTGATACTGAAAGCAGCTTTCTGAAATAGAAATGGATCTTTGCTGCAATACATTTTGTTTTGTTGGTCTTTGAATGTCCTCAGCTGCACTGGTTGGTGGTCTTTTAGGCCAGTTTCGTGACGCTCACACTATAGCCAGGTGACAAGCTCATTTCCTTTCAGCACAAAAGTAAATGAAATATTTTATGTTCTCTGACACTATTCTGTCTATACCAGGGGTCGGCAACCTTTACTATTAAAAGAAAAAGAAATCCGTCTGGAGCAGCAAAACGTATTTGCATAAAGATAACAGCCTCTTCAGTCTAAATTAGCCAACATCAACATTATGAATAGGTCTAAATAAGTGTTCATTAATAGGATTTTCTACAAGGTGGCTACCCTGTGGTGGGCTATTTATAGTTATTTAGTACTTTAACTCAGTTCTTTAGTGAATGAATCTGTACACACACGATTAAATGCTTTATTTTTCTCCCAGACCTTTCCTTTTTTGGATTTGGATCCATAGCTAGTCTTGCTAGAGAGACTCCAGGCTCGCCACCGTTGCTGAAGTTCAGCAAAATTCAGATGAAAAGGCACCAGGTCGTGGACGTATGATGCAAATTTAACATAATGAAACATTAAAACATGTATTAATTCAATTTATAGGCTGCACATTTTTACAGATGTAGAATGCAGTAATCATTTTAGGCCTATAACAATGACAGGTGAAAATCTGAATGTTAAAAAATAACCATTAATCATTTCTATGAAATTTTATGTCAAAGACACAGGAAGCAGATGGAGAGGGTGTTAAGAGCCGCACAGGGCTCGGGAGCCACAGGTTGCTTACCCCTGGTCAGTACATGAATGTAAAACAGCGATATTGCTTTTATGGAAATTTTTCAGGATATTTAGCCCTTGACAAACTTTTATAGTAAGATCCCACTGATGGTTGTTTTTGTAGCCCCACATATCACCAACAAAGGAAACTGACTGGACTGATGTATGTCTACAATGAGTACTAGAGGATTGTGTGTGTGAGGAATTAAAGTGATACTCTTCCACTGCCTTCATTCATTTCTTTTCAAACATGTTTTAATAATTCAACCACACTGCAACACTTCATTCATCATTTCCTGGTTGTGATGACGTCATTGCAGTTGGATCACAATAACTGTTGAACAGTCCACAATGCAACAGGTGTAACAAAACAGAAAAGAGTAATACGGCAAGATGAAGGATATCATAAAAATATCATTTTCACATTTTTCTTTGCCGAAGCCGAGCAGCTCTGTGGAAGTATCAAAGCACATAGCCGTGTAGATTTACCAAACACATCCTGGTGAGGATTTAATTTGGAATTTTAAGTAATAATGTGACTCCAAAATGAGATACCCATCACTTTAATAAATGACACCCGTACTTTTATAATGATAGCATTTATTGCTTGGTGCTGATAATAGATGTCATCTGAAGACATTTTCTAACAGACCTTGATTATGTTTCCTCAGTATTGCATGATGAATGTTAAGGGTTTTCCCAAACAATATTAAAAATCTCTATTTCAAGGGTGACCTGGCCAAAAGGGCAGCATAAAACATTGATACAAGTCACAACAAGGCAAACAGACATATACAACTGTCACACACAACAAATTAATTTAAAAAACCCTGCAGTATCCAATCAACAAGTAATACAAGAACAATTATAATGTGGGCACAATTTCTAAAATTATTTAGAAACAATCACATTGACTAAAAGAGCTAATTTCTTCTTCTTCTTTCTTTCATCCTTTAATATCAACTTGAATTCCGCCACAGTGATCAGCTTTTCCAGTTTCAGATCCCTCTAGATTATTCCAGGACAGAGGAGCAGCATATTTAAAAGCTTTTTAAATAAAAAAAATAATACTTTAAGCTCAATCAGTCATATGAAGGATGTGTGTTGTACTACATTTTGGGTCTTTAAAGTTTTATATAATATTACAATCAGGTTTTTCCAGCTTGAAAATATCAAATAAAAGGATATTTTTTACAAGTTTCCAATTCAGTGTCATATTATGTTGAGAAAAGTATGTTTGAAAGAAGTGCAAACATTTAAAAACAAGTGGCAGATTGAAGATTTTTGTTTTAAGTCATTATTTTACACTCAATCAATTGTAAGATAACTTAGTCTGGGTGATTACCTTTACTGTTTACGCGTTTGGAACACAAATCCCGTGCGTAATTACACATTTGGTGGCTTTTCGACTTTAGTATTTACTAAGTGAGTGTCATGTTTATGAGAGCCAGAGCATATTTGTTTGCAGGGAGGTTGGTTGGCTACTGGCAGAGTTGGTAGAACACCCCCTCCTCTCTCATTCTCTCTCCCTCTCTGTCTCTCTCCCTCTCTCTTCAGCTGCCGCGATATTTTCCAGCTCTGGAGCCTCAACCGCACAGCTCGATCGATTCGCATTGATTGTCCCTGACGAGCTGCTCCACTTTCTAGCCAATGTCAGCCAGTCTGCGATCGGGAAGGAGAGAAATGAAGGAAAATCTCTGCCGCCCTGGCGGTGTCATTTCCACACACTTGGGTTGGCCGCCTGCCAGCAGACAGGACAGTCGAAAGAGGTGGAGTGGACTCTGGGGCTGAGCGCGTGGAGGAGCGCGCAGGGGATGAGGCTTTATTTCTGTCAGCTTCGCATGGTGGATAAACTCTGTTGTCCAAATAAATTGATGGGGAGTGTTTACCCTCCACCACCCTGCGTGCGTCCTGACAAAGAGGTCACTCCTTTACGCGAGAAAACAGTGTTGAAATCATGCAAGAAAAATGTCACAAAAATGTGGTAATGCAAATATTAACAGTGAAAAATAATCTTTATTTAAGCCTATTATATTTTGTATCTTCTTATAATTAAAAAAAAACATCAACCATTATTTAGGTACTTGAATGTTGCTGAAATTATCCAATTACTTTCTTTTTATTGATAAATAAGTGATGCGTTTTATTATTTGGGATAAAGGGTGATTTAAAAAAACAGCATTCAGGAAGTGTGTAGTTATCAGCAGTCAGTTTAATTCTGAATCATCACCTCTCCCCTCAGCTGTCCTGAAATCACACTAACCCTCGCGGCCTCTCTCGGGTTTATTATTGCCTCAGCCCGGAGCGCGCGCACCGCGCAAAAGTCCACTTCGGTTTTTCCGCGAAGCTCCAAAAATCTATGAAATGTGTTTGCATGTTCCTCTCTGCAAGCGGGGATGTAGAGGTGGGATTGCAAGGACCGAGAAAGCTGGGGGAACCCACGCGTTCAGCCTCAGAGAAAGTACGCTTTTCCCAAATAACTGACGGTGAATATTTTTTTTCTTTTCACATTTGTCATTAACAGACAGCCACTCTGTAGGATTGTGTTCTCGGAGAATAAGCTTTTTTTTCTGCCCTTTTCTTTTTTTTGTCACCATTCTGCACGGCAGGCTGAGAGACGGACCGCTCGGACTGTGGGAGCCCTCCCCTCTGCTCGGATCTGCTTTGGTAGGTGCGAATAAAATGGGCCCGTGTTTGCAAATATGCAGATACATGGAAGGGGAGGGAGGAGGGGTGGTGATGATGGGGGGGATCATACTTTGTTGAAGTCTGCTGAAAGTTGGGATGTCATCTTCTTATAGGATCAAGTTATAGCGGGATGAACCGGGGCTCTTCTGTGTATATCCTCAAATGTGCGACTGCAGACCGTATGCTGGTACCGCAGATAGGCTACCGTGCTCATAGATCACTGAGTCCAGACAAAAGACAGCTATTTTGATCCGCTTTTACTCTTGAAAGGAAAAATTAAAATAGGTTTTAAAACCGCCGGTGATAGGTAATGATGCCTCAGCACTGTGCCGGGATGATGGGGATATATTACAAGCTGCTGTCAGTTTTTCCAAGAACAATCATGTTTTTTTATCTAATAAGTCGCCTCCAGATACGGACACTGAACCAAAAGCCCCATGCGTTATTGTGAATCAGCTGTTAATGATGCGCGCTAAACTTGACGCTTCCAGTTAATGAGCGAAATGATAAACGCGCATTAGAGTCGCATCATGCTTACATCTGACACCTCATCGCCAACCTGTACAATGAAACTTTTATTTAACCATATAGAAACATACACTAGAAAAAGAGATGGCACAGGTTTCCACGCGCGTAAAGAGAGTTTTTTTTAATTTCCAATAGTCTTATTCTTCTTATTTTTCTTCCGGGCATCATTAGAAAGTTCCCAGGTACGCCAGCTTTCACCGCGCTACCCGGAGATTTACAGTCACCCCCCCCCCCGCAATCCGCCACCAGTATCGCAGATCCAAGCGCTCCATATGTTTGCGAATAATTTGAAGTCACAGTATGCACGGCTGTGGTTGTTTTTCTCCTCGAACTTTTTGTGTGCGCATAGCCTCATTAGGGAGAATAAGACGCAGCAGGTTATGGACAATGGATGAAGCCTCGAGTGTTATTATTGTCACCGGGCTTTTTAACTTCCTCTGCCCGTGTGTGCGTCTGCTGGTGTGTGCGTGTCGGTGTGCGCGCGCCAGTCGACAGGAGGTGGGAGGAATAGAGAATGTGTAGCTCACCGGAGACAAGTACAGGAGTCCGCAGACAGCGCGTCTGGACGGGGGGGGTTGGAGAGGAGGGGAGGAGAGGAGGGGGGTTTGAACGCTGCATTTGCATCGTGCATCTCCTGAACTAATGCATTAAGTATTCTAATAGTCAGCTGCACCAGAGTCTGTGGCGGGCCAAATGCCTCATAACCCTGCAGGAAATTAGACAATCTTTTTTTTCCCCACCTCTGTTAAAAAAGCTGCGATTACCTGGCACCTGCGCATGCAGTGACGTCAGTGACGGAAACTTGTTAGGAGTTATTCGATGCGCTGAAGGGGGTAAATTGTCCAGTAAACCTGATTTGATTAAAATTAGCAGGCAATTTGTTTATTCAATTCAAAACATGTAAATGATTCAGGATTTATTGTTGAAAGAAAGTTGAGTTTATCTCTTTAACGTGTTCATCACACTGCCAAACTAAATTCATTCCTGTTTTTCATTGGGCTCATAAGTGTTATAATAGCCTGCTGTGGGGATCAAGTCAATGTGTGTTAAATATCTAAGCAGCCATGATAGAAAAACATCCCACATTTTGGTTAGATTTTAGTTCTGAATAAGATTATTGCCCTGCTCTCTGAAAAATAATGGGAAATATAAACACACATCGGCCCTTATTGTTTTCCTCCAATCCTCCGTCACCTATTGATTGAACCTATTGAACTACTGAACCAACCAACCATTCATCCATCAGTCAGTTGTCACTATATTGTGGACTGACGTTCATTCTTACACACATGAACGAAAACTGTTTATTCGGGGAAACTGTTAAAAATGTGGAGCTATTACGAGCTGAGAGCTGCGTGTGAGTGTTAAACGAGCTGTTCATGCTCATACAAGTATCATAGAGCTGACAACATTCACCCGGCACCACCGCGGCTGTTAGGAAGTACTCATCATTTGTATTACCGTGAATGTACAGTATTATCTATTAAAGCACCACTTCATTCACCAATGATTTAGGCTCAAAAGTTTTTGTAAACGCTCCTCATACACTGAAGACCTCTGCTTGTACACACCAGATTTCACCAGTGATTCATACACTGAACCTCTGACATATTTAATCGAGCTTTTGAATGGTTTTACAATGTTTGGACACACTGTGTAGGCTGGTGTAGGTGTGATATGACCGGCTTTGCTTCAGGTATACAGAATGTACTGATCATATTTGTGTCTCTCGTGGCTTAAAGGAAAAGTTTTTGGAAATGTGCTCGTTTGCTTTCTTGCCGAGAGTTGGAGTAGATGAGAGGATTGATACCACTGATGTTTGTACTTTAAGGATGAAGCTACAGCTAGCAGCCAACTAAAAAGACAATTTGACGTTTTAGCGAGGGTTACTATTTCATGGTCAGCACCCGTAACTTCCTGGAGTCTCCGCTGGTTGCCTGGTAACTGGTCCTGGCCAAGAAATAGTTCAGCATATAACCCCTGTAAAACACACGTTGATTTTTGTATGGATTAAACAAACTGGATATCACGCGTTAATTGCTGAGCTACAGAGATGTTAAGCGGATTTTGTAATGGACAGAGCCAGGCTAGCTGTTTCCCTCTGTTTCCAGTCTTTATGCTAAGCTAAGCTAACGAACTGTCACCTGGCGGAAGCTTCATATGAAGAGTTTTCACCAAAATGTTGAACTTTTCCCTCTATGTGAGCATCTGTCTCAGGTCATGAATACTGAGCTACAAGTTGTATGCAAATTATTAGAAACAAACCTATACATGGGCTGGGGGAAACTATTTTCAGGCAGCATGGTCAAGTAGCATATAGGGAGACAGCAAAAACAGAATTTCTCTCAAAGGATCAATACAGTATTCTGTAGAGCTGGAATATCTGGATAAAAACACCACATTTCACATTCACATGACACTCTTTTCATTTCTGCATTTCATGAGGCTGTTTGCACAGAATTTGGAGCTGACTGGCAGAGAGAGCAGCTACAGTATATCTGAACCCAGACTCAGTTTTAAACTATTAGTTGTTTACACAAAATCAAGCTTCACACTCAAATGAATACCCGTATGTCATGTATCAACCTATTGCGCATTTTGTTAATGACATTCAAACAAATTTTCAGGTTCTGCAGATCTGCTGCTGTTGACAAAGTGACAAAGTTACTGAGCTGACATCACTTAGCTAGTTCCGCAAAACAAGGCATTAATGTCAAGATTTCCACTAAGTGTATTTACTGAATGAACAGCAACATTTATAATCGCATTAAGAGCGTTGTGTTATTCCTCCTCAGGCCACTCAATATTTTGTCGGCTACACTAAATGACTTATTGACCATTAAAACTAGAGTAATTGTCCAGCACTCAGACTTTCTTTCCTTAAAGTGTAAAGAACAGATCCAGTTTTGCCTATAATGAAGATCAAGCATCAAAGAAAACCGTCCAAAAAGTCGCACTAACACAGAGTGACTGTTCCTGCTGCAGTTTTATATTTACCTAAACAAGAAGCCGCCAGTTATTTTTGCAGATGCTTCGATTGCAGGTTCAGATCATGCCTCTCAGGCCACACCTGCGCTCTGCAATGTCCAGCTGAGCGGATTGGTTGATCCGAGAAAGGCTGTAGCACTGTATTGATCATTCACACCATTTATACCCAGATCTTTATCTCTGTCCGCCAACCCTGTGCAGCATGTTGAAGACACACTCAGGGAAATATCAGGTATAGTTAATATTTACACCTATTTTTATGCTGAGACAGCTTGAGGTGCAAAAAATGCAGCTCCTATTGGTTTCAACACGTGACTAGTAATTACAGTGTTCTTGTCAGGGCATTCACAGACACCTGAGGTGTAAGGCTTTAAATATGAAATACAGCATTAAAGGGGATCTATTTTGCTTTTTCTTGTTTTTTTGTCAAATATTCTTGTGCAATCTTCCAGTGTCAGATGTTCATATTAAATGTGGTCAATGTTTTAAATAATGAGGTAAAAATAAAAGTAGCCAAATCCTGTGAGAAAGTATCTTAGGCTTCAGACCATGCTGAATAGGCCTACTCTCTTTTTACAACGGTTTCTTAGTACTTTTGAGACAAGCTGAGGTCAGCTCATGACAGTTTTCTTTATATGGTTATCTGCCCCAAGCACGTTACTGCAATGCTACATGTAGCTACATGCTAATGTCAGGGAAACCTGTAATCTTGCCGATGTTATTAATTCCTCTCCAGTTTCATATCATATTACTGCTCGAACATGTCCAGGAGTGAAGATTTTGTTTTAAAAGCTTTGGTAGAAAGTCCTGCTATACTCTGTACAGTCAATCCCTGATGTTGGAGCCATAATATAGTTTTTGTGTGTTCATCCTTATCTAAACACAAGGTAGATATAAATATACACATGCAGTTATTAAACTGAACACAGGTGGAGCATTCATGTGTGAAGTGCATATAGGCAAGCTCCAGGTAATGGAAATCAGGTGTGTAGAATAGGAAGCAAACAGTTTTTGACCGTGTTATGCAAGCGTGTCATATAATCATGAAGTATCGGCGTGTAAAACTGAACTTGCTGAATGGAGTAACGGATGATATGGACAATGCTGTGGCCCTACTATATTATGGTTAGCATGTGTATATTGTATTGAGAATAAGTTGATCGCCAAATTCAAAGAGATAACACGCACTGGACATTGGTGTGTTCTCAGGCCAGAACACGCGTCCAGAACGTGTTCACCTGTTTGCCCCTCAGCGGCTTGTTTAGACATTTTGTTTTGTAAAAAGTCACTACACCTGACTGGAAGTACATTGCTACATGTAGCTAGCTACATGCTAACGTCAGAGAAACATCTTGGTCGCTGATGTTATTTTCCCCTTGATTTTGGATCATATTCCCGCATGTGTAATGAATATGTCACACCAAAGAAAAAAACATGTTATTGACCTCCCAGCCAAATTTGAA